GGCGAGTAGCTCAAATGAAGAAAGGAAATCAAGAGTCGGGGATTAATATGGATTATTTGCCCCTAAGAACTCATCCTTCGGTTCACAATTAATCATGGTTATTTGTTTGATCAAATGGCCCCATATCAATTTTATTTTTCTTTTCCCTTGAGGTATAGAACACTTGAGCACAAAAGGGTTGGTCTCAATTTTGTGGTGTTTGTATATTGGAGAACATTTAGATATTTTTTCTTTTAAATTATATTGATCATAAGCATTATTCTCACCTAGTATCATGCTTCATATTGGCCTTAATGCCAGTTGAAAACCATGGTGAGTGTAGGTTTAATTTGAAGTTAAGTTTGTATTCAATAAAACCCAATTAATTTTTTGTTCAAGTAACATAATCTGTCAAAGTTCTATTTCATAAAATCAATTCATGGGTATAGTAATTGTGGTCGAAGCGAGCAGCCCTCCGTTTTAATTGGTGGTCGAAGCGAGCAGCTCTCATTAGAACACTTGAGCACAAAAGGGATGGTATAGAACACTCCGCTGAGTTGCACGGAAGCGAGCAGCCCTAGGCAGCGCCTCATTAGATCCTAGACTTGAGCCCTCCGTTTTAATTGGTGGATCCCCCTCTTTTCTCCAGCGCCAACGTTTAGTGGAGTCTAGATTTGGTCCAAAAATCAGACCAAGCGGTTTGAGTTACCATGGATTTTGGTTTGGAGTCTAGTTGTATTGCACTGTTGAGTTTCGTATGTTGGTGTTATATACTAAAAACATGACTTTGGATGATATTACACTTTTTCCCTTGATGAATGAGTATCATGTTCGATTAAACAAGTTTTATTTTATGTTGTTTTGCACTTAGATAAAATGGTTCATCACGGATGGACAGTAGATCATTTTATCAGTTACTTGCGAAACAAGAATTTATAGTTTACAACCTAGATGGAAAGAAACACCCCCGTCAGAACGGTTGTAGTGTCAACGGTACAGTTTATCTTGACTGATTAGTTTCACTAGTACAATCATGTATTGAACAGGATCCCATAGAGAAACGGTTTATTTTATACTGATCTTCGTAAATAAACCAAAGTCTCGGTTAATTATTGCATTCTCTTAACTCATAAGATATTAAACATATATGTGCATGCAACATTTATTACTTTGATTCACTTGGGTGAGATTCATTTCGCTGGATCAATACTCTTACTGTCTTGGGTAATATTGTTGTATGTATGATGTGTTGTTAGGATATTTATGGTCACCATGTGTATTAGTTCATGATGTTTCCAAAGTGAGTTTCATGCCTTGTGTTCAATCGTTGTAATCGTGTCGTGCTTAGGCGCTTGTGGTACGTGTTGATTGATTATTAATGTTCATATTATTGTATTCTTGATGTATCCTTGTGTTCTCCTCCCCCCTCCCTCTTCCTCTCCCTCCTTTTTAAAAAAATAATAAAATGTGAGTTCACGAGGAAGTACGAATTATGCTTCTCTTATTTGGATTGATTTCGTAGGATAAGATAATGAGCCCGAGAAACTGGTCTAGGAGACTCAAGAAAATCCCTCGAGGTTACACCTAGATAATAAATGTCTGAAAACCTCGTTTTTTTTTTTTTAA